ACACGGACACGCGCACGCACACGCACACGCAACCACACACACAACCACACACACAGCCACACACACAACCACACACGCACAACCACACACACAACTACCCACACACACACAACCACACACGCAACCACACACACAACCACACACACAACCACACACACAACCACACACACAACCACACACACAGACACACACACAGACACACAGAGACACACAGAGACACACAGAGACACACAGAGACACAGACACAGAGACACACACACACGGACACACACACACACAGACACACACACACACAGAGACACACACACACAGACACACACACACAGACACACACACAGACACACACACAGACACACACAGACACACACAGACACACGCAGACACACACAGACACACACACAGACACACACACACACAGACACGCACACAGACACACACAGACACGCACAGACACACACAGACACACACAGACACACACAGACACACACACAGACACACACAGACACACACAGACACACACAGACACACACAGACACACACAGACACACACAGACACACACAGACACACACACACACAAACACACACCCACACACCCACACACCCACGCACGCACGCACGCACTCACGCACGCACGCACGCACCCACACACACACCCACACACACACACACACGCACACGCACGCACGCGCGCACGCACGCGTGCACGCACGCACGCACGCACGCACGCGCGTGCGCGAGCGCACACGCGCACACGCGCGCACGCACACACGCACACACGCACACACGCACACGCACACACACACACTGACAGAAACACACACACATAGACAAACACAGACACAAACACAAACACAGACACAAACACAAACACAAACACAAACACAAACACAAACACAAACACAGACAAACACAGACACACACAGTCAAACACAGACAAACACAGACAAACACAGACACGCACGCACAAACACCGACCGACCTCGACCGACCCATCAACCCACCAATCGGCAACCAACCGACCAAGCCAACCCAACCCAACCCAACCCAACCCAACCCAACCCAACCCAACCCAACCCAACCCAACCCAACCCAACCAAAACCCAACCCAACCCAACCGAAACCCAACCCAACCCAACCCAACCCAACCCAACCCAACCCAACCCAACCAAACAAACAGGCAAACAACTAAACTGCCATACGCATATAGACACACACGCACACGTGGTCCACACCCCCACACCCACTCATGCGCAGGCATGTGGCTGAAGGACTGCGAGATCGTGAAGGGTGGCGCCTCTTGGTGGCAAAGTGCAAAGGTTTTTGTGAGGCCCTCAGGTCTGCGCGATTGCGTTACATCCTGGTGCTCCCTCCGTCCCCTTCCCTCTCCCTCCCTCTCCCTCCCTCTCCCTCCCTCTCCCTCCCTCTCCCTCCCTCTCCCTCCCTCTCCTCCCTCCCTCTCCCTCCCTCTTCCTCCCTCTCCCTCCCTCTCCCTCCCTCTCCCTCCCTCTCCCTCCCTCTCGCTCCCTCTCCCTCCCCCCCTCATCCCTCCACCGGCTTGCGCAGTCGGATTGGGGCGATGGCCTCTATGTGAACGACGCGGCCACCAAATGCACTGTGCAGACGGGGACGACGGGGCAACGGCTCAAGGCCAAGGCGCGCGGCCGCACGTTGTGGCTCCCGCAAAGTTAAACGGTCAGAAGATCGCAGGGATGTTTTGCTTGCGCAGAAATCAGGCCCTTGCTTGGCATTCGGGAAGTTTTCAATGCGTGTCACAAATGGACTTTTGTTTGGCTAGAAATGATTTCGGGTCGTCACAGTATATCTCATGTTTTCCCGTTATGTGGCGTTGCGAGATCGGACGGCTGGTTTCATTTTTAGCATGTTAAGTACTTTTAAACATTTGTCGAGCTGAAGCTGCTACATGTCCCAAGTTCAATCGCGCAGATTGCTCCGGCCCTACCACTTGCTATTCATTGGGTAAGGTGCCGTGGTTTGGTGTTTCATGGCTCATCCATGCCTCCCGCCGTGAATTCCTGGCAGTCCCTAGACATGAGCCTGAGCCCTTACAAGATGCTGAAGGCTGGTTTTTAATTTGCAGTATTTTTCTCGCACACTGCGCATTCCTACGCATGCCTTCTACCTCACACAGCTGTATGGAGTTTTGCTGACCTGTTTTTCGACCTGCTGCTGTTTAACCACTCTCCCGAACTCGAGAATCTGGGAAGGGCCCGCGCCAAGTGAACAGCACCGCAAACCTGTGTTGGTCAAGTACAGGGAGTTCTCCCTGGTTCAGTAGGGTTTTCAGGTTCATAGGTCATAGTTAGGGCCCAACCTTTCCGGTTTGGAAGAATCAACTTGGTGTGTTTCTGCTTAAGTGGTGTCTGTGCTTCCAGCACAAGCAGATGATTGAACAGATGCGTTTTTGTTGGCAGGAGCGCTTATGGACTTGATTTGGGTGGAAGCGTCTGAAAGGGACCTAAACGCGGGATACGTGAACAGGTTGTGCTCACCCTTCCTAGCATTTCTGACACTTGAGGTATCTGACGCAAGGCCACGACATGCCTTGCATTGCAAAGGTGGATGGGTAGGCCCCGATTGCCTGAACAGCTTCACAGCGTCTCTCAATAATTTGCCACACCGCTATCTTGAAACATTGATGAGTACACATCTGCGCGTGTGTAACATGAGCGTCATGCAGCTGGCTGAAGCAATGGATGGTGACAGCATATTTATTGCGTAAATTCTTGTTTCTCTGGAGTAACGTTAACGCTAACGCAAGCCGCTGAGGCGCTTGTGGATTACTCGGGGGGCAATGGTTCAGGGGAAATGATTTGAGGTTATTTGAGGTTTGGTCCCGGACTTTATATGCTTGATGGAATCTGGTTCTTCACAGGTGGTGAACCTTGAATGTATTTTAAAGAAGATCCAAAGCTGAAGCTACGAAAGTTGTACCTCAAGAGGACCAGGTGTCCCTCTGTTAGCGTTAACACTTGGACTCGTGGCCTAGGCAACGAAAAGAACTCGGCAAGGCCACACATTTGCAACACATTTGGCGCCAAACTCAAACCCGAAACGGAGCAGAAAACGAATGCAAAACACAGAACAAACTGCACGAAATCAACATCAAATACAACTAGCTCAAATTATAAGCTTTCACCGCATCAAAACAGGCTCCGAAACCCGCCCACTTCAACACTAGCGTTTTGTCCCCCCAAACAGGCCCTCGCGCATTAGGGGATCATTTCCAGATCAAGTTTGTGTACGACCCCTCGTGTCAATCCTGGGATTTGATCGCCTGTGGCCCAGGGCCTTGCCGGATTTCAGCGGATGTCTATTGCCCCTGGCTTTTCCCCAGGCTTCCAGGTTTAGTTCTGTTCTTTTTTTGGGGGTTGCCTCATGCTTTCCTGAGTCGCTTTGCCTTTCTCACATGCTTCCTTGGCATCAGAAGTCCAGCATAGTTGTTCGACACCTTTGCGTAGCTGATTCTTTGCTCCAGGCCACATGCTGGACAACAGAGACCTATGGCAAGAACACCGGCGACATGGCGACAGGCCTGGAAGGGCTGTGTAGCATGCTGACTCGAAGCCTCAGACGCCTCTGCCTTTCTTCCATCCTACCTTCCTATCCTGCCAGGATCTCACTCTCTCACTCTCTCTCTCTCTCTCTCTCTCTCTCTCTCTCTCTCTCTCTCTTTCCACAGGCAGTTTGAATGAGATCCTTTGCACAGTGTGCCGCCCTGGCAGAATGCGTACTTCTTTCGGGATGGGCTTTATCGACTCTGGCTGAGATAAGGCATTCCATTGCCTGGACCTTTTGCCTCTTGCCATTCTGAAGGTATTTTGACTCTGAGGCTGCGACGGTCCCAGTGCTCGCTGCTCGCTTCAGGATCACACACCGTGGACTGCCCGAAAGCCAGAAACTGCCTCTGCAACAGTGTGTCTCGAACTGATTAGCGCATTTGATCAAGCGGGCGCTGACAACCTCATTCCAATTCGGGGAGATTTGGCACAGATTCCTGTGCACCAGTAGGTTTCTATGGAGCTTCTGGAAAGATGTCGCAGCTTGCATGGTCATTGTATGTTGCTGTCTCACTTGGCACTGTGGTCTAAGATGTGGACCGTCGACACCAAGTGCAGCCCGGCAAACGACATATGGAGGGCTCGGCATTTGCATTCTGCTGTCAGAAGGCACTGTGGGAAGCGCTGCGTTTGGACAAGCAGGCTTTCTTTGACCATGTGACCACAGAAGGCAGTCCTTGTTGATGCTTGCCAAGTCTCAAGCATGACTCGTTTGCGTGAGATTCTATTGACGTAAGTAGTTTGGCCTTTGCTGGAATACTGGGGAACAGCTTGAGCGCCACAGCAACTTAAACCCCAGCAGGGCAACCAGAAGTTGGAAGCCAACCCTGGATTGTGTTATGCCCTTGCAATACATACCGCATGCCGTTATAATTATTATAAGCGAGTTGCTTTTCTCAATCAGTCAAGCATTCGTTTGCCAGCTCCAGCCCTTGGCTGGGAGGATCGGCCTTTTTGAGGGCACATTGCTGCACAGTTCAAAGTGTTCTGCTTTTCGGCTGGTCTGTGGCGCTTTGGGGCTCTGTATGTATAATTGAGGACTGATATCTACGCTGGGCATACCCTATTGGGTCAAATCTCCATTCACAGGACATGTAAGACTGCAAGACACAGATGCTGGCAGTGGAAAGAAAGCGTATCGGGCTGGTCTTTTAGTGGTCATGAGTGGTTGAACGGCCTGTTTAGACTTGTGGCATCATTTGGTACTAAACTGGAATGCTGCACGCCGTCACCAGGCAACAGTTTTATAGCCACGTCCCACTGGCCTTCGTGCCAGTTGGAAAGCGGTCAAAGTTGCGAAACAAACCAGTCAAGCGGGGACAAAGCAGCGCAGCAGCAACACTTCTGACAACAGAAGGAACTTGACACCCACCTGATACCTTGCCTGCCTTTCCGGGACAAGGCGGCAACCAGCCACGGACCACGGCCAAGAGTGGCAAATGCTCCGGATGCCGGGCTGCATGCGGTTGAATGAAAACCATTGCTTAGGCTATCCCAGGCGTTGCTTGGCAGATTTGCTAGAGTTCCCACGATGGCGCCCATTTGTTTGACTGCGTAGAATCAGTGTTTTGCACTTAGGGAAGTAACGACCTCTCGGCAGTTCTGAATCAGTGAACCTCTATGTCAGGGGAGGAGTGCACCAGTTGCAGTCCCACTGAGGACCTGCAGTGGTCCACGTGCTTCTTGTGGGACTTTTTTTTTAGACCACGAACACAGGACTTTGCCGATGATCAGGCTTTGGAACGCCTGTGCCGGTGCATTGCCTGGCTGCTCCACACAGGCTCACCGATTGTGGGCCTCTAGTCGAGCCAAGCGCGTGCAAACACTTGGCTAGTGCCAACACCAGTTTGGCTCTTCGTGCCAAGGAAGCGGCGGGAAGAGAATGCTCAGCGCGGTGTGCAACGTGACTGGGCAGATTTGTGCCTGGTGGATTTGGGGTGTGAGCAGAGCGCAAAAGGCCCCTTGACAGGAAGCCGTGACATTCCACGAGTCTCCTTGTGCACGGCTATCGGCAATGATCCCTTCCCAGGATCTCAAATGCCATTTACGAGCGGGTGCTGCCATGTCATTCTAACATCACATGGCAGCTGGGCGACAGTTTTGCTGCTCAACGTGCGCTTTCTCTGAGATGGTGAGTTGTAGAAGATCACCTCGCGTCAGCTTCGTAGTTCAGTGCCTGCTTGCGCTTGCCAAATCACGCAAGCCTTCTCCCAAGGTCTGAAGGCAAAATTATGGTTCATCGTGCTATGGAAGATACCTTTGGTTTTGAGTCGCTTTCTGTGAACGTTGGCTGTTCTTTTGAAGCCTTGCCTCAGCAGTCAGTTCCCAACGCACAGAAGCATGCATCACTTGTGATTGTGCTCTATGTTCAAGTTGCTACTAGTTTGTAAGACACACGACGTTCTCATTATATAAGCAGTGGAGAGCTTTTCACCGACAAATGTGCAGTCCGCAAGAGCCTTCTCTACTCGGACTGACATGGATTTGAAGGTGCATCAATATTTCAGACACGAATCTGTGCGCAGGTGCATCGAGGTTTACCAATTTGTCCGCTTTGCTTCTTTTTTTCTCACTCTCTGCGCCGGATCCGGTGTTTTCTTCTCCTGATTGGGAGCCAGTTGGGAGTTGCTGGGGGCTGGTTGAATCTAGGGGGGGTTTCGGCTGTGTCTTGGAGTGGTTTGGGGTTGATTTAGGCAAGCGAAGGGCTGACATCCAGGTTGCTGTTGGGCGGGTTTAGGGTTGACTTTGGGTGGATTTGGGGTTGGCTTGGAGCTGATGTGTGTTGGGTATGCTGCTGGTGCATTGGCACAGTCTTCGGTTCCTTTGCGGGGACATTTTCCGCAACTCTCATTCAAACAAAGAGCATTTGTAGTACTACACCAAATCTGAAACCATGACTACACCAACCTTGGCACCGTCTTTGGTCCTCTGCGTGGACATTTGCTGTAATTATCCTTGAACATGTGCATTTGCACTACTAAACAAGGACTAAAACCAAGACAAAAGCAACGTTGGGACAAGTCTTCGGTTCCTTTGCATAGGCATTTGCTTCGGAGCGCTTATTGCATGATATCTCAGAACCCAGCATGTGTGCTTCTGTATATATATATATATATGTTAGTTTGTACTGGCGCTGAAATGTAGGTCCTGGGACAGGGGTGGCCATTCATGTATGGATGCATATATTATGTACTATATATATATAGTTTTATATGATTCACATACTTGTAACGTGATACATGAAGACATGCGAATCCTGACATGTACTTCCTTCTTGTTCTTTTCCTGTCCCTTCGGTACTTGTGCTTTCTCTTGCTGCGATAGTTCTGTCAAGTGGTGCGTGACGCTTTGCCCAGATCCTGGATTGCCAAACCGGGTCGGGCAGCAGCTGCAAGACCTGCCAGAGCAAGAATGCGCGCAAGGCGTGGGTCGGGGAGGCGCCAGAAGGTGGCCTGGTGGCTGGTTGCCGGCGAGCGCCCTCGGGAAAACTGCGTTATGACAGGGAAGAACTGAAGAACCTATGCTTCCAAGTGGCAACATATGGGCCTATATCGGGGCAGTTGCTCTTTGACGGGCTGACGCATGCTGCACACTTCGCCCCCAGACCCTTACCACTGATGCATGACAAGCACACAGGGAGGTGTTGATGCTAAGTCTTTGCAGAGAAGAATTGCTGGACATTGGCAGTTTGCTGTCGACAGATTGTTGAAAGCCTGCGAAAGGAGCGGACTCAGTTAAAGCGGAAAGCAGCTTGAGGGGCTGAAATCTGCATTGAAGGAGCGCTTTTTCAATGCAGCCACTTGGATTGTCATGAGACGCTAAACCCTGGAGCCGCCTTTTTTTTTGGCCTAATTGGCTTGGCCGCTTTTTCGCATGGTGCCTTGCTTCATGTTGTCCAACGCAACGAGTTAAGCGCGATCACTCCAGGACGTGTTGCAGATTTACCATTTGGGAGTTGCCTTACGAGAAAGGCCCAGAGACCCGCGGTACGCAGGACAGACTGCTGGTGCATTTGTAAGTGCAGTAGCTGTTCATTAGTCGTTGCCTTCGCCGTCAATACCCTCGTTTCCCTTGCTGCGGCTGCTGCTGCTGTTGTTGATGGTGATGCTGATGGAAAGGGTGACGGTGAAGAGGAACTAGACGACGGGTGGCCCGAAAGCATAAACCCTGCCAGGTCACGCGCGTGCGTGTGTGTGTGTGTGTTGTGCATGCAGTTTCTCTGTGTTTCTGCGCAGGTGGGTCTGCGCATGTTTTTTGCAAATTCTCCGTGCAAGTTCGCGAGTGATCTCTGCGCCAGGTCTCTCTGCAAGTTGTCTCTGCGCAAGCTCTCTGCGCAAATCTCTATGCAAGTTTGTGCGCAAATCTTTCTCAATGCACGTTTCTCTGCGTACGCCCTTAACACAGTTACCCGCGCCTGGAGAAGCCCCTGAGTTTTGTTGTTCAAGTATATTCTTAGCATTATGAACGCGGCGCGGGTACCGAAAACATGGCTAACAAAACACGTCACAAAGATAGTCTTGGAGATACTCATTCCTGACGTAGCCCAGGACGAGGCCTGGGTGGGGTGGGGGCGGGGTGGGGGGGGGATGGTTTTATAAACACTTCTGGAAGTTTTTGTGCCTGTCATCCCTACAGCCAAAAAGCCGCGAGCAGCAAGATCATGTAGACGGTAACAAGAGCTGGGCGAAAGTTGCAAAGGTCAGCCACAGTAAGGTGAACAAGTCACAGGCCACTTTGGCTAGGACTCAAACAGCAGGACAGGATTTGGCACAAGTTGAAGAGAAGTTTCCCTGGGAATGTCAACTCAAGAAGCAAGAAGGGGAATTAAGCATCCCCTTGTTGTGTCAGTTTTTCGCGCCTTTCTTCTTGTAGATGGGACAGCGCCGGCTGCGCAGCAGATTCGCAAAGTTATGCCGGGCCATGCGCTTCGAACTGAGCGATTTCAATCTTTGATGTCATGAGGCAGACATGCAGGGATGTCAGGATGTCATGTTTTTGGCTAAATCCCGTGGCCTTTTTACCGTTGTTTTGTGCCAGCGCTGTTGTTTGGCGCTTTTTGCGGATGAGCCGCGCTGTTACCCAGTGTCTTTGTGCAAGTTCTCTGCTCAATTCTCTATGTGCAAGTTCTGTCTGCACGTTTCTGCGCCTTAGCTGCGGGCCACTTTTGTACTGAAAAGTTGCGATCTTTGAGCTGGAGCTGTGGGAGAGCGCTCCATGTACTAAAAGTAACGTTTTGTCATGAGCTGCTGCATTTGATGTGGGCGACCCGCAGAAGGTCATTTCATTTGCAGTTTTTGAATCTGCAAGAGGGTCGAAGTTTCGCAGACTGTGGTCGGTCGGTCCTGCTGCGCCTTCTTAACAGATGTAAGTTGCGCATGCCAGTCTTCTGAGGCAAGCCTTCGGGTTAAGTTGCGCGCGCGAGCCTTCTGGTGTCAGGCGCAAGTCTTCAGGTACCTCTCTCTGAGCAATCTTTCCCTGACATCCCTCCTCGATATCTCTCCGCGCTGTCTCACATGCAATCTCTCTACGCAATCTCTCTGAGCAGTCTCACGTGCAATCTCTTGAGCAGTCTCTCCGTGACATCTCTGGGGGCAATCTTTCAGGCGACCTCCTGGTGCTGCTGCTGCTGCTGATGATGATGATGATGATGATGATGATGATGATGGTGATGATTATGGTGATGATAGCGACGACCATGATGCTGATGCCGGATGATGATGAAGATAATGATGACGGTGGCGGTGGTGATGATCGTGATGATGATGAGGAGGATGAAGAGGACGATGACGATGAGGTGGTGGCTGTGGTGGTGATGAGGATGGTGATGATGATTGCAGTGGCGATCATGATGACGATGGTGGCGAGATGACGATGATGGCGATGAGGCTCAGGATCAGAATCAGGAGCAGGATGATGACGGCCGCGACGGCAGCAGTGTCAACGCAAGCACGGCGAGAAGGAGAAGGAGGAGGGAGGAGGAGGAGGAGGAGAAGGAGGTAGGAGGGGAGGAGGAGGAGGAGAAGGAGGAGGATGAGGAGGATGATGATGATGGTGCGCATGATGATCATGAGGATGACGACGACCTGAACGATGACAATGGCGAGTTTGACGCTGATTACAATTGCAGTTGGAATACCCCCAGCGTTTAAAAAACATATGCTAAGTGCAAGTTCTAAAAAACACGTATTCTACTTGCTTGTCCCCCACATTCTTAACGTGATTATCACAATTTGGCGGGCGCAGGCAACTGCACTATGTTGGTGCATGTTCCTGCACGTCAGCTGACACGCCAACCTCTGTCTTCAGAACCGTGGGAGCCCAATTTGCCGGGGAACTTGTCCTCATAGACGTACTCAGCTTTCAGGGGAGCACAGCTACGACAAACATATTTGAAGCTTCGCCAGAGAAGATCTCGAGGTGGTGGACCACTGCGCCTCCTGCAATAGCGGCTACTACCTCTCTGGGAAGACATGTAAGGCGGGACGCTTCTCCACAAGTCAGACCATATTTCCAGGATTGCCTGACAGGAATGTTGTTGCCATGTCTTGCTGACATGCGCCCATGGCTGCTCTAATTGAATTCACATGTGCAGGCCTTTCGCTGCGACAAGTCCGGTGGCAGCGATTGCAAGACGTGTGTCGGCCAGTCGTCTCGCACAGCTCCTGGGACCCAGTTTGCGTTTGGGAAATGAGCGATTTCCCTTCCTTGAGCATTTGGGTGTGCCACCGAGATATCCGCAGCCCTCACTGAAGTCTCAGGCAATCACCTGAGGGTATTGAGTCGTCGATGGATGCTGTTGGGCAGACAGGACTCCCCCCATTTTGGCCTTTACTGTCCATGTGCTTGGTCTTGGTCAACTCGGGAGCTCGCAAGAAAGCTCGAAGGTTTAACCGACGAACGCTTTGGTGGGATCGCCTGCACTCTGCGCTTGACATGGCGTATCGTTTGCAGGTTGGGCGGAATTAGAGTCGTTTGGCAGAGTCGTTGCAGGAAAGTTCAAATGCGGCCCAGGCTGACAATCAATGCAACGCCTGCAACTACGGCTATGCCTTGATCGGCAACGTCTGCAAGGCATGGCAGTTGCCAGCATTGCAGCCGCATCGCCAAAGGCTACAGCATCCCAACGCATCCCCCAATGTATGCAGCTGCAGAAGTTCTGAACCGCCTGTCGGTGGACTGTCAGGGATCAACATTGTGTTAGTTCGCTTGAATTCTGCCTGTCTTCCCAAGTCTGCAACTTGACTTTTCCACAGCCGGGGATGAAACTGTTGCTTGCTCGCCTTCCCATGCTGACACGTGCCTCGCTTCGCAGAAAGAGCACTCGGTGACCTCGGACTGGTCTACCAGGACTGATGACAACATCGTCTCGGCGGCTTGGCAGAGCGGTGAGATTCGGTGAGGGTGCAAACGGTGCAAAGCTAAAGGTGAGAACTGTGCAGTTAAGGATGCCAAAGACCTTGCGACTGGCTTGTGACACAGACGCCCGCACTCGTATACGAGGTTAAAACGGGGCAGTTGTGGGTTTCCGGATGCCGGACTTTTGGCTCTCCAGGCCCCTTCTCATGAGCTTTGCCTTGTCAGGCCCACTCCATTTCAAGCTTTTGCTAACTGAGGACAGCCTTTGAGACTTTGTTTCCAAGACACTTTGGGGTATTCCACAATACTGTTGAACGAGGGGTTGCCTCCAAATAGGCGCACCTCGCCATTTTTGTTCTTAGACTTTGAATGTCAGAGAGTGAATCTGGGCTTTGGGTGCCGCTGCGTTGCAATGGCAACCAAGGTCAGCTGCCCCAGCGGCATGTGGGCCGCTCCTTCTGCAGTTGGTTCAAAGCTTCGGTTTGTGGTGGACTTGCTAAGGCACAGGACACTAGCGGGAGGGTTTGGGGCACTTACTGCGCAATATTGGAATTGCCACAACATTGGAAGGTGTGCGGTTCGTGATTGAATTGTTGGGCTCACCCCGTGAGCTTGCATCCACATCGGAAGTCACAGCTTTGACGTGTCTGAGAAAGGGAAAGCGGATTTTGCCGGCATACTGGCAGTCCGGGGATCACAGAGCGTAAATTGAATTGATTGAAGCAAGCGCACTGCTGCGCAGCCAGGGTGACTCTCTAGGGCTTGCTTGGACTCACTGGATTCTAGCCGGGCTTTGCCTGCGTGGCGCGTAATTAAAGCAGGGGTTCTTTTCGTGAAGGGTTTAGCCACCTAGGCGGCTAAGAAACGCATTGAAGGCTCGGTCGGGTCGCCTGCAATTGCAAGGGAGCGTGGTCAAGTTCAATCAGCGCACGCATCAGGTGAAGAAGTGCTCTATTGGGGACTCGAAGCAATTCAGCGCGGTAGCCTGGGTGCCATGTTGAAGCGCAGCTTGTCCCCACTGCCTCATTAATTGCACCCTTCAGATCAAGATGGAGTCCCACAAGTTGCGATTTTTAGAGGAATCTCCCAAGAATCAGAGAGAGCAGGGTCGGAATTGAGCTCAGATGGTGAGTGGCGAGACAATTTGTGGTTGCAGGGCTTTTGAGGGACAAGTCAAGTGCTTGGACTGGTGCGCGTAGCTGTGAAGGGCACATTGCCAACAAGAGTTGATCACTGTTGCCAGGCCACCGTCGCCGTGTGAGCGCGAGAGCGAAGGGCGATGGCACCTGGGTGACGGATGGCGGAAAGGAGTGCAAGGCGCTCGGGTAATATTTTCATTGGCTGAGCGTCCGTTCTTGGCCTGCCGCCGTTGCACTCTTGGCATGTTGAGGCCTGAAATGCTGTGAAGGAGAGAGTTAACTTATTCCCTGAGGAGGAAAAGCTATGGGGTCTTTGCCAACGATAGGTTTCGGGCAGCACCTGGAACCCAGGGTGGGTTTCTGAGTTTTACGGGGAGGCTTCCTCTGTTGGGGATGCTATTCATTGCGCAGCCCAAGGGCTTACACATGCTTCGCAAGCTGTAGGGTGGCATCCTCGCACTGCGAGGTAGTCAGTGAACAGAGGCACCGAGGTCACATTTGTCACATTCATGAGCTGGGCATTTGTGCGTAATTGACCGCCAACATGTCAGCCTTATGAAGTACGCAAGAAGGGCACTCTAGTCGCTTTAATAACAGGAAGCAATCCTTCGCCTTGGGCGATGTTAACCCAATTTTTGCGTTGATGCAATCAGGTGCCAGTGCCCGAAAGTGCCACTTGACGGAAGGGTTGGAATTGGCACTCATATAATCCTGCCTTCCCTTGTGGTTCAAGGTGCTTTGTTTCGACGTTGTGTTGCTTTCTGTGCTTTGTGCCTTTGCTTGACTTACTCTGCTTGCAAGCTGAACCATCTCTTGAGTTTGCTTTGAGCTGTGATCAAGCAAGCCAGGCCAATCAGGCAACTGGGTCCAATCTGCATTGGGCTGTTGGTTATTGCTAAAATAAATTATATCATTGTAAACGCTTCGGCTGCCTGCCTCGGCCAGCATGCCTTCTGGCTGGCTTTGAGGTACTGTGTTTTGCTTTGCCTTGAAGCGTTGTGTTTGTTTGAGTGTGAGCTGGTTCCCGAGAATTATGTTCCAGTGTTCCAGGCCCCCTCCCCCCCCCCAAGGCCTTTCTTGTGGGAGTGGGGGCGGTGGGGTGGTTGGGTGGTTGGTTTAGGGTTGTTTTGAGGTTCGTTTAGGGCTGGTTTCGGGTTGGTTTCGGTTGGTTTGGTTGAGGGTTAGCTTGGGGTTGGTTCAGGGTTGGTTTAGGATCCCTGTCCTCTCTTGTTCCTCTGCCCAGCCCTTCCCGCCCTTCCCATCCTTCTCGCCGTGCCCACCCTTCCCACCCTTCCCACCCTTCCCACCCTTCCCACCCTTCCCGCCCTTCCCACCCTTCCCACCCTTCCCACCCCCCCAACCCACCCGCTGCGTGTGCCTGCGCGCTTGTGCGTTTGCGCGCCCAAAGCGAATCAGACGAAGACTGCGTCCCCAGCATCCTGCCCAGCCGTGCAGAAACTGGTGGAAGAACGAAGAATAACATGGTGTTTGCGATGTTTTCCGCTCGCGGTCAAGCAAACATGCCCGCTATGTCTGCCTACCGCCGCAACCTTTTGTCAGGGGGGCCTGGCGGCCTTGTGAGGGCCGCGTGATTTCTGCAACATGACGGTGGAGCAGCACATCAGCGTGAGGATGGGGTGGCGTGCCTCACCAGTTTCGCGTGTGTCCGATTGTGTGCTATACAAGCCAATGGATGCAGGGGCTCAAGGGATGCTGAAAGGCTCGGATGCTGGTGATGCGAGTATGCTGGGGATGCTGAAATTGGCAAGGATGTAGCGGGGATGCTGGCGACAACAGTCGGGGGGTTTGCGTGGTGTTTACAGTGTTTCGAACGTTGGGTATACCCTAGGCCTCGCTCTTCGAGCTCGAAGACACACAGCGCGGATGGCTTTTTTCATGAGCTGGAAAACAAAATCGGGGTCACCGCTCCAAAGGCTGACTGCAATCAAACGCTTTTTTGGTGAGCCCAAAACAAGGATGGGTTCTGCGCGACCAAAAAATCCATTGGCTGGACAACGAGCGGGGGCACCCCTCAAAAAGCTGTTCCAGCAAGCCTCCAAACATGATATTGCACTTCCTTTACTGCGCTCGCCGCTCGAGCCGGAGCTGCCACTTCTCTTACTACACTTGTGCTGAGTTTTTGCGCTGCGCTTGTGCTGAAAAGTTTCGACTTTCGAGCCGAAGCTGCCAGAGTGTGCTTCCTTCGCTACACTTGTACTGAGCTGCGACTGTCAAGCCGGAGCTGCCGAAGTGCACTTCCCTCACTACATGTGTACTGAAAAGCTGCGACTTTCGAGCTGGAGCTGCCAACGTGTACTTCCTTCACTACACTTGCGCTGAAAAGTCGCGACATTTCGAGCCGGCGCTGCCAAAATGTACCTCGATCACTACACGAGTGGCAAAATGTACTGCGTAACATGCATTTTACAATTTCGCGATTTCGCAAGTGGCTCACATAGAAAAGCTTCGCGAAAGCAGGCGTAAGGGCGCGAAAGGGACCGCGTTGGTGCTAGCGTAGCAGGGTTATAATAGCGCTCCTTGCATTGACGTTGCCCTCTCATTGCCAGGCACGGACGACCGCGGACACCCAGGTGAAAGCAACAGCAGTTTGCTGGACCACTGAAACAAAAGTGGAGGCGGGAAGTATGCAGAGTGACGTTTCCAACAACAATGAGTATTGTTGTTTCCAGAGCACGCAGACTTGGCCAAGTCAGCCAGGCAAGCGGCGGGCTAAGAACCGGCACTGTCTCCGTGAAATGCAGCACGGGCGATGCTGTTGGCTGTACCTGCCACACGGCCGGGGGCTTGGGCGGGGTTCTAGAAATCGGGTGGGGAGCCTCAGTCTTGGGAAGGCTATTGCAGCACCTCTGGGTTCTTTGTGGTATATTAGCTTGGTACTTGTAGTTTGGCCATTCGTGTTTTCCTGGATGCCAAGCGCAGCCTGTGCTGTCCGGGGATTCTTGCCGGAGATGCACAAGAAGCCCGAAGACTATTCAATCTCTTTTCTTCCATCCTGCTGGAGTTTTGGTCACTTTGACGACGCTTGCAATGTGGGCGCGCGGCGCCTCGTTGGTTCTAAACTTCTGAAGCGCAAAAGGGCTTAGCCGAACCGAGGGTGCATGAATGCCTATGTCTTGCACGTTGCATGGTTTGTTGATCGGCATGTACAATATTTGTGCCACTCGTGTGATTGTTTTCATGGTGCAGTTTTCAGAAGACCTTGACACGCGAAGTAACTTGAATGACATAGCGTCGGCTCGTCAGACACCGCCACGTGTTTGACTTAGCACATAGATGCCGGCAATGCTGTTTGACCGCATGCTTGCCCTGCTCCAGTTGTGGAGAGCGCTGGACTTCTGCAAGAAAGACAGCAGTCGACGGAGGACTGGCGACCGGCCTGTTTGTTTTCCTTTTCAGCAAAGATCAGCAGTTGCCACAGGAACATCAGCGCTAGCGCTGCTGTGCCCTTCAAACGGCCAAAGGCTCAAGACTGAATAGCAGCAAGGTGTTGCGCCCCACCTAAGTTTTGGTATACGCTAGGTTGGGAACATTCTGCTCACTCCTGGGTGCGCTTCCACTGTTTGTCAAGGCCCCAGCAGCACATCTTCTTTGAGCAGAGCCGGACTCTTCCATGGGAAAGCAAAGCAATCGACACAGGCCCCGCATAAGCAAAACCCTGCATGGCGTAAGCTGTGCAAGGGCCCGCGCGCTTCTTCGTGAGGATTTTTTTGGAAAGACTGCTCGGAAGAGTTGTTTCACACATGTGCTTGTGTGTTTGTTGGTGAACTTGCCCATGTGCGCGCCGCTAGAAAACCAATGGAGTTCATGCCAGGTGCTGTTGAAACCTTTTCTCGGACAAACAAAGGCTTCTGAAACTGGGGCTCGGGCGCCCTTACCAAAGATGCCGCCGCTGCACAAGCCGTTTCTTGACTTGCAGCAAGAACAACAATCCCAAGCCGAGTCATCTACGTCATCTTGAACAGCTTGGCATGCGCTCAAAATGCCGACGCGCAAGCGATGTGCAAGCTTAACATGCTCGCTGACTGCTGCGTCAGCCAAAACAACCCTCCGGCTCGGAAACCGAACGTGTAGTTGGAAGAGCTGCAAGAAAGAAGCGAAGTAGGAACCACTAAAAACCCGTGGTTTTGATGTTGTTTGTATCATCTGCCGAATTGCGCGGCCAAATGCGGTTCTGGCCAACCCGTAACCGAATTCTGTGGCCGCCAGCATTTTGCTTGGGCACCGTGTGTGTCTACGCGTATAGTAAATAGCACTGGGCCCCCGTGTCACAGCTGCTGCTCTTAGTTGGGCAGCGCGTGTGCCAGACTCTCAGGTACATGCTTGTGCCCCTCACCAGATCGGTTGTTTGCTTTTGTTGAACCTCCGCTGGAAGCGTGTGATGCTCTCAGGATTCGAGGAGATGGCGCTGGCATGTACCGATTGCATTGCTTCCAACAAGAATCAATTGCACCTGTATGCGCCTGGGCGCATTTGCTGGATACTTTGTTTGCGCTTTGAAACCCAAGCATTCTCACCTTTATCTGCGGAAGATCAGCCAAATTTGCGGTCATACAAACTCATCGAAACATGATGCTACTGAATGCTAGACATGGCTGCTGCTTGATGCGCATGGCAGCGAAACCTGAATCGTGATGCCGCTCCGCTGTTGATTGACAATGATCGCTCGGAACTTGTTCCACGCAGGCAGCCAACATGTGTCCGCAAATTGAATGACTTCATCCCACCACCCCCGCCCCACAACCCCGTCATGTTGCTGAACTCCATAGGTTAAAGCATGGGTCGCGTAAGGAAGCACAAGCTCGCGTGTGGGAGGTTTATAGAGTCGTCCAACCTGACATGGACTCACGACCTACCCCAAAGTCTTTATAACAAAAGGGGAAGTGTGATGAGATGAGCTTTGAGCAACTCCGCAGGACGGGCGCGACCGAGAGCTTCAGCCCAAGCGGGGGCAAATGCACCCGCTGGCAGCCCAGAGCATCTAGAAAGGTCAGGGCCGTCGGCAATTTCTGCTTGCAAGCAATTGCGAATGTTCATGTCTTTTTTAGCCTTTTGAGAAAGTGAGCAAAGGCAGTTCTGTGTCGTTTCCGTGTTTATATTATTTTGTTGGATAAGGTGAGAAGGTGTGCCGCGGTGCTTTGCACCTGGCCAACAGCCAACCTCTTTCATTCTCCCACCACTCAAACTGCAAAAAGAAGACCGCAGATTGGAGACTCCTGACAGTCTTGACGTGAGCAGCAGCTTCATAACATGTGCTTTGAATCAGGGCTGCCGGATGTGTGTTTCTTGTATTTTGTCCCCAGGGAGCGTTTGTGGGCGGGATTTGGTGAGTGCTGCCTGGCAGTCGCCGTGCCAGTGGGACTGCGCTCGCCCGGTGGGATTTGGTCTCCGGGTGGTGGTCGTGCTGGTGGCATTGTGCTTCTGGGATGGGAGTTCGTGGGTGCAGACGGATCTGAGCGTTCATTGGATTGTGTTGCCGCCGGTGGGATTTTGTCTCTGAATCCCGGGAGCGTTTTGGTCTCCGCGCTGCCTAATTTTGGTTTCCGAGTGCTGCCTGCCGGTCGCCGCGGGCTTGCGGGGTGGGAGCGTTCGCTGCGGACAGATCCGTGAAGCGGGATTGTGCTTCTGGGGTGCCTTCGTGGGTGCGGAGCTGTGCCGGTACGATTTGCGAGCGCTGCCTGGCAGTAGCCGTGCAGTGGGGCTGTGCTTTCGGGAGCGTTCATGCGTGCGGACGGAGCCGTGTCGGTGGGATTTGGTTTGCGCGGGTGCGGAGGCGATTTGGTTCGTCGGTCAGATTTGGTTTCCGCGCTGCCTTGCAGTGGCCATGCCAGTGGGACGCTGCTTCTAGGACAGGAGCGTTCAGGGATGCGGACGGAGCCGTCCCGGTGGGTTTTGGTTTTCGAGCGCTGCTGCCCGTGCCAATGAGGTTGTGTTGCTGGAATGGGAGCGCTTGCGGGCGGGGAGAGCTGTGTCGGTGGATTGGATTGATCGGAGCGGTTGTGGGTGCGGATGGAGCCGTCTCCAAGCGCTGCCTGGCAGTGGCCGTGCGAGTGGGATTGAACTTCCGACGGGAGCCAGTGGGATTTCGTTTCCGAGCGTTGCTGGACGGTGGCTTGCGCGGCGATGTGGTGCTTCCAGCACGGGTGCGCTTGAGAGTGCGGATGGAGTCGTGAAGGTCGGATTTGATCTCCGCGCTGCCTTGCGGTGGCCGTGCCACTGGGATCCGGAACAAAAGCGCTCGCCCGTGCTGGCGGGACTTGCTTTCCGAGCTGGCAGTGGCTGTGCCAACGGGATTGTGCTTCTAGGACGGGAGCGTTCGCGGGTGCAGACGGAGCCGTGCTTCGGTTTCCGGGTTGGACTGGGATTTGGTCTCTGAGCGCTGCTTGGCGCTGGCCGTGCCAGTGTCACTTGGAACGCTTGCGCACTTGTGCGCTGGCAATTTGGACCATGAAAATTTTTACCTAGAGGAGAACCCCGGCTGTTTCTGAAGCCTTCGCAGGGAAAGTTGTCATTTGCCACTGCGCAAAAACGTGACTCCACGAATGAACTTGTGTCGGCATTTGTTGATCTGCTAGCTCAGCTTATAGCCCCAGTGCGTGTCATGGTTGGTCGGCGTAGAAATGGGTTCGCCACAGTGATGGCAAAGGCAAGTTCCCGAAATGCGCAAAAAACTGTTGGGGGAGGGGGTCTGTTTTTGAGCGCCAGTTGGAGTCTTCAGTTTCCGTGTTGGCAGCAAGTAATCCCCAGAACGGTGGCCAGGTTCTCCGGGTTGCGGATCCTGGCTTTTGCTCAGGTTACACGGAGAATCACCGGCGCCGTAGATTCAAGGGTGTCCAGGCCCGTCACTCGTTCTTTGACGGAATGATTGAGCATCGCCTGAAACTTCTAATTTGAGGACATCGTCCAGAAATCTGAGCTGCCGTTCCGACAGGTGTGTTTGAGAGTTGAGCATCCAACCATGCTTTCCGCGTGCTTGCCACGCAGTGTCTACCAAGAAGGGTGGGTTCCACTATCCAGCGTTCAACTTCTAGCAACCTGGGGCAGGTCTACGCACTGTGCTCGCAGGCCTCTTGGGCCGCACTGGGGTGTGACGCGCTGCTAGAACTCGTTTCTGTGCACCGTCTCAAGGAGAAGTGCAATGGCTTCGAATGCCCCTCAGGCGCAGACGGGCGTTCGAGCTTAGATGGCTTGAAGCCATGCCGTTGTGCGCGCGCGCGCGCGTGTGTGTGTGTGTGTGTGGGTGTGTGTGCGTGCGTGCGTGCGTGCGTGCGTGCGTGCGTGCGTGCGTGCGCTCGTGCGTGCGTGCGTGCGCGCGTGCGTGCGTGCGTGCGTGCGTGCGTGCGTGCGTGTGTGTGTGTGTGTGTGTGTGTGTTTTGTGTGTGTGTGTGTGTGTGTGTGTGTGTGTGTGTGTGTGTGTGTGTGTGTGTGTGTGTGTGTGTCTGTGTGGTGTCTCTGTGTACTTCTCTATGTCTCCGTATGAGCATGTGTCAGTTCTATTCTACACATACATACATACATACATACATACACACATACATACATACACACATACATAAGTACACACATACATACATACCTACATACAGACATACATACATACATACATGCATACATACAGACACACCTACATACATACAGACATACATACATACATACATACATTCACACATACAGACAGACAGCCAGACATACACACATATATGCATAGATAGATAGATAGATAGACACACAGATAGATAGATGGATAGATGCATGCATAAATTCATACACACATACATACATACATACATACATACATACATACATACATACATACATACATGCGCGCACCACGGAGTGCACTCCCGCAGCTCCAACTGCACAGTCGCACCTTTTAAGTACAAAAGTAGCGCGCGAAGTGCACTCCTGCAGCTCCGGCTTGAACAATTCGCAACTTCTAAGTACAAAAGTAGTACGCGAGGTACATTTTCGCAGCTCCGCTCGAAATTCGGCTCCAACTGCAAAAGTACAAAAGTACTACACGAAGCGCGCTCCCGGAAATTGGCAAGTTTATGTACACAAAGTAGTATGCGCCCGCAGTTCTGGCTGCAAAATCGCAAGTTTTCGGTACAAAAGTAGTACGCGAAGTGCATCCCCGCAGTTCCGGCTAAAAACGCAAGTTCCAAGTACGCAACCAGCGCACGCGAAGAGCGGTGCAGCTCAGGAATTAAAATCGCAAGTTTTGAGTACAAAAGTAGCGCGCGAAACGCATTCCTGCAGCTCCGACTAAAAACGCAAGTTTCAAGTATGCAACGCAGCTCCGGCCCGCAAATGAAAAAGTAGTGCGCAAAGTGCGATCTCATGGGTCTTGCTGAAGAATCGCAACTTGAAAGTAGTGCGCGAATGCGATCCCGCAGCTCCGGCTGAAACATCTAAATTTCTACACGCAAAAGTCGTGCGTGACGTGCGCTCTCGCAGCCCCAGCTCGAAAATCACGGTTTTGTTCGGAGAGCGCGCTCCATCACCAGCTCGCAAATTGCAACTGTATGGCGCAAAAGAAACACCCAGTTGCACTTCCGCATCTCCAGCTTGAAAATCTTAACTTATGTCATGATACTTCTCAACTCCTTTATCTTGATCTGCGTAGCTTCTTCAGAACGCAGTCTCTCCCTCAGTCTTCCGGCCTCACAAGCCAGTTGTTTTCTCACGCCATAGCGCTGCGTGCTTCAAAGAGCAGAAAGGGGACAGAGCTCCTATCCAATGCGCCTGCCGGCGCGGACCTGGGACCCTGACAGTGAAGCTTGGTCGGCACGGTTGGTTGAATCGTTTAGCCCCAACGGGAATGTTGATAAGCATGCCGATTGCGCAGGATTGTATTGACAGCACGCTTGTGATCGCAAGCTTGTGACCAGCCTGGAGAAGATGACCAACGCCGCCGCTGATCAGGCTTCCGACATGTGGATTCGGAAGTACAACATTTGGTCACTTAGCTAATCAAGCTGGGCAAGGCGACAAAGGCGAGGCAGAGCATCTTCAGTGTTGGAAAGCTTTCGTACTTGTGACAAGTTGGACTTGTTTTCGGAGTGGCCGGGAGATTTCCAGCAGAAATGGTTGGAGTGTGCTGGAATCAACCGGAATCCGTACCGCATGAGGACGAATTGAGAGACACACTGTGTCGAAAGCGCAAAGGGAAGTTCAAGGATTTGCAATTGGAACGGAAGTTGCATGCGCATGGAACGAGAATACCATGCGAAAACTCAAAAACACTTGCTGAATGTGACAGGGCCAAGGCGACCAAAGAAGCGAAGAACTGGGAGAACAAAGAGAAGTCTTCAAGGACAACCGGATGGGACCGGCTCTTCCTGCCACAAAGGCCAAACGTGAAGGCCAAGGCCGACGCAGCGCCCGCGGAGAAATCTAAGTCAGAGAGGCCGAAGTCTCCACACACTCCAAGGAACAATTCTTTTGAGGGGAGCTGTCAGTTCCGCTTCTAGTGTGGGAAATGTACGAAAGGATCCGATTGCAATTGCGTGTCACCAGGAGAGTACGTACACCGATGGGTGGAAGAAGAACAGGGGCCTAAGCGGAGTAACTCTGCTGCGAGGAAGGGCGCCTCGAGGCAGGAAAAGACAGCGAAGCCAAACGCCTGAAGATGCTGGAAAGGGACCAGGCCGGCCACGTCCTACGCAATCGGGCGAGCGAAGCGCTGCTGCGCCGCCCCACAGTTTCAATGCCAGCTAGGCAGGGTTTGGTACTCGTTCTTGCTTGGAGCCCAGGCGCTGCGTTTTGATAAATAAGCCTTATCGCCAAGGCGACTGGAGCAGCGATCATGTCAATCGTTAGGTACGACCACGAGACCGTCAATATCCCCTGTAGAGTTGATGGTGCTTTAGTATGCCTTTGTTTTCTCTTTTCATCAATGCGCCAACAATGATTGCACGCGCCTGTGCAGCGATCCTAGGGAGGAATTTTCTCATCAAAATGCGTTTGTGCATGATAAAATGAAGGATGAGCCGACCATCATGTAAAGTGCTGCCTAAGGAAAGTTTGAATTGAGGTAGCGGTTTCTACCTGCGCGGGTGACCGTGCGGGGGGGGGGGGGGGTGTGAATAGTTTGTTTATGGCGCACTCACTATGCATGAAAGACATGCGATCATCTATTGGCTCAAGAATCGCATTCCCTGTAGCTTGGATTCAACATGTCACGGTACTGACAAAATGTGGATCTGACAGTAAAACAATCATGCTTACGGAGTGACTGCGGCTTCCCTGTGGGGCACTCACCGTCGGGGAACGGTGTAGGCGGCGCCGCTGGGATACCAAGTGTTTCCCCTCGATTTTCAACACACACACACATACACATGCATACACATGCTTATGCATATACGCACAGATTTATACAGACGCATATACATATGCAGAAACACACATATAGACTTCTCATGTGTACACATCCACACACATCCATTTAAGTGCATTTACCTTCATGTACATACATGTACATTCATACAGATACGTGTACATACAAATAGATACCAATAGGTGCACGTGCATCCATATGCGCACACAAACACGGCGCCCATTGGGACGGGATTTTCTGCCTGAGCGCGCGGGAGTCACACTACATAGGGGCAGGGCATATCCAAGGGAGCGCTGCCAGGCTATTCGCCAAAGCCTGCTGACACCATCGGGTCAAGCCAAGCCCGGGCTCACAGTTGGTGCGTCCTGTGTGTATGCTTTGGCACCCCCCAAGCTAAATCAACCGAAACCACCTTCTCTGATGGATCGAAGTATGCACTTTGTAAGAGCCGGAGTGCACTTTGCAGACATTGTTTTCCTTCATGCGTGCCGCGCTTTCAATATTGACTAGGACAGCTGAGCTGGACGGCCACATGCACATAAACATATGCGTGAATAAACACTGACCCGTTCTCCCAGATACAATCTCTGCACAGGTTGCGCTTGCACGCTGCATGTGCGTAGTCCTGGCTTTTGTCTCAACATGGCAGGTTTTTCAACTCGCTTCCCCACCCAGGTCACACAAAAATTGCCAGACTGGCGCTAATAAGCTAGCTTCGGACATGGGCGTTCAAAATTAGGATTCCTTTAGGTTTTGGTTTCAAAAGATCCGACATAGGGTTCCCCATTTTGAAGTAGACCCAACCGATTCAGGACACTTGCTGCGGCAGTGTCAACTGCCCTGCTGGCTCCACGGGATCCAATGTCCACAGTGCCTCGGCCAGGTTTGGGCGGCATGGTGGGGCTGACAGCCAATGTCTGTAGCATTGCTTCGCTGATTATTGGAAGGTTGAAAGAGCTGTTGGGTGATGCAATAGGTTGCATAACCAAGGTGCTGATTCGATGCATTGCTTGTAAGTGCAAGCAGTGACGACTTGTTTTGCTCCAGGTGGCTGCGAGTGCAGCGCAGGCTCGGGAATGGGAAGAGTTGACGGGCTCAGTTTACACCAAATAGACTTTCTCAGATGACTCAGCCAATTGCAGCTAGAGATGGAAAGAGAGCCTATTTTGCTTTGCTCCCATTGAAAGAGTCCAGCCATCTGCTACGCACGTGAGGCTACAGCGGCACCATCTCTAAAAGCACCAGCTCACCATACTACACAGGAGCGAGCCGACCTCCCAATGCGGCAGAGCCTGGTACTCTCGAATAGTGTTGATCGACTCTTGACCCTTGGATTCTCTCAATGTCTCGGCCGTGTTGATTGATGCCGAGCTGGGCTGATCTCTCCGGTTTGTGATTCAGTCAACATTCAACCTTCATTGAAGTTGACAGGCTAACGGACATTCACTACAAACGAGCCTCAACTTGCAGGGCGCTTCCTTGTTGCTTTAGTGGAGGTGCTATGTATGCATGCAATGTATTGTAATGTAATGCAATATCTAAGGGCTGCCGCCCTGAGCCGCCGCCCCCGGCTTGCTTATAACAATTATGACTACGCGTTTTTGTCGGGTTTAACGGCACACTAAAAGCATATATGAAAAAGAAGAGCACCACGATAATGATCATGTTTTTGATGATGCAAATTATTACCCAACATTAGGGATGCTGATATTTATTACTATGCACTCGCATCATCGCCAGCAGTCATGAAGATAACTGTTACTCTGCATTTTTTGCATCACCAGCAGTTGTTATGAGAATCATGACGACGCATGCCCTGCATCTCAAACAAGCTACTGCAGGATTAATTCACATGATAATGAGCACCTTGTTGGATTAAGAAGTTCCCCCGGTGTGTGGAAACTTGGGCAGGAAAACTATGTTGGGGGCACCTTTTTTTGTTCGCAAGACTTCGTTGTATTGCTGTGGATGCAAAGCGTGGACTTTGTGTCATCGCTTCGTCTTCGCAAGAAGCAACCTGTGTGCACGGATGCAATCACATGGTGATGATGATGATGATGATGATGATGATGATGCTGATGCTGATGATGATGCACCCCCGGCATGGCTACACATCTTCTGCATTTTCGAGTCGGGTCATGATGATGATGATGATGGTGATGGTGATGATGATGATGATGATCCTGATGATAGTCATCACTACGCATCCCCAGCATCACCAGCAGTTATCATGACAATCATGACTACGCATTGAAAAAGAAGAGCGCCACGATAAAGCTGATGATCACTGTGCGTCCGCAGCATCGCCAGCATGTCAAGTCAGGTCATGATGATGATGATGATGATGATGATGATCACTACGGTTATCATAACAATCATTACTACGCATCCTCTGCATTTATAGTCGGGTCTAACGGGACACTTGAAACGTATATGAAAAAGACGAGCGCCACGATAATGATGATGATCCTGATGATGCAAATCATCACTCAACATCAGTGATGCTGACAATCATCACTATGCATCTGCAGCATCGCCAGCAGTCATGAAATCCTCACTTTGCATGTCAAGTTGGGTTATGATAGTGATGATGATGATGATGATCCTGATCCTGATGATCATCACTACACATCCCCAGCAGTTGCCGTGACGACATCCTGATGGTATGTATATCTATGTAAGTATGTACGTATGTATGCAAGTAAGTAAGACACTTTGTAATGTATGAATGTAATAAATTGCAACACAATGTAATGTATTGTAATGTCATGTATTGTAATGTAATGTAATGCAATGGTATGTATGTATATATGAAATGTATGTATGTATGTAATGTAATGTCATGTAATGTAATGTAATGTAATGTAATGTAATGTAATGTAATGTATGTATGCATGTATGTATGTATGTATGTAATGTAATCTAATGTAATGTATGTATGTATGTATGTATGTATGTATGTATGTAATGTATGCATGTATGTATGTATGTATGCATGTATGTATGCATGTATGTATGTAACGTATGTATGTATGTATGTATGTATGTATGTAATGTATGTATGTATGTATGTATGTATGTATGTATGTAATGTATGTATGTAATGTAATGTATGTATGTATGTATGTATGTATGTAATGTATGTATGTATGTATGTATGTATGTATGTATGTATGTAATGTATGTATGTATGTATGTATGTATGTATGTATGTATGTGTATGTATGTATGTAATGTATGTAATGTAATGTAATGTAATGTAATGTAATGTAATGTAATGTAATGTAATGCAATGTAATGTAATGTAATGTAATGTAATGTATGTATGTAATGTAATGTATGTAT